ACTCACAAATCGTGAAATGCGATCTAGGCTCTTCGCTAACAGAAAGCTCACTATTCGTAATTGATTCCTGGTTGTGGTAGTGTTTCTAACTGGAAGCAATAGAATAAAATACCACTTTGATAACGCAGTTAATAAATTAAACGTTTATGATGGATGCAGGCGCTCTATTTGTATGCAGTTTTTGTATCATATGCTTTAAATTTCGTGTGTTTTCTGGGGTTTTTTTTAAATAAAAGTCATGTTTTGTGATTTTCCCCGAAAACGTTATGTTTAAAACAGTTAATTTTGTACAAATATTCCAGTACGAAAAATGAAATTATCCAGTTTTTTATTGAAAACATTTTAGGATCTATTACATTCGCAAACATGGGAATAGCCATGATGGAACCATCATTACCAATCTGGATGTATGAAACAATGCATTCTGAAGAATGGGAACAAGGTTTGTGTTAAACTTCTTACTCAATTCCTTCTGGGGAAAATTTCAAATTACAAATTAACATACAGTTGATTTTATCCCTTATACAAAGGATTCTGATGAATACATGAACATTCAGAAAGAAAAAAAATAATTTAAAAACAAAACTGAGACTCGCAATCTTACATTGACATCAAGCTTCATTTCTAATGTTTGTAAGCATTTTCTGTTAATATATTATAGCGTAACCATTATTAGCCCAATAATGAGGACCATTCTGAAAACTTATCAAGAAGAAATTTTCCAATATCAAAGTTGAGACTCCCAATCGAAAAGAGATATCATGTTTTCATGAGATTTAAATGTATTTTATCGTAGTTGTAGGCATTCTCTGTAAATTTATTATAACCAAACCATTATTTTATTTAAGGTGTTGCCTTTCTGCCAGCCAGTATCTCGTATCTGATCGGAACTAACATATTTGGACCATTAGCTCACAAGATAGGAAGGTAATATAATTACATAAAATAATGACATTCTCGTATTCACCCTTGTGCAGCAATAAATGTCAGTATCGTGACCGAATCATCAACATTGTGTATGATTAATAACTACAACGCGTGTTTAAACGGCGGAAGTGTCTCGGGTTACCTTGCCTCTGTTAAAGGATTTTTTTTAACATCACATTTTGGTTTTGGTTTATAATAAACGTGGAGTAGCGAGACTGAAGTTGAATGCTCTGAGGTTATTATAACTGCTCACGTGTAACAACTGACCAGTTCAAATTGCATTGTCTCTGAAATAAATATACCATGTAGTAAGATGAGCGAAATATCCGTGAATCCGAGTTGACAAACCCGCTCGCAAATTTTTGGAGCTTGTATCTTATCGACCAAATATACAGCTTAATGCTTTCACTATATAAAGTCTGAAAACCTGATAAATGCATGTACAGTATTTCGAGGATCAGATAAATAACATGGTAAGTAACTACAGTGGTTCAAAAATATTTATTGATCTCTAATTAAAGGGAACTAACTCTGTTTCAGGTGGTTAAGTGCTTTTATTGGAATGGTAATGATTGGTTTATGTTTAATTGTGGTAAGTATTTACACATACTATTGGTTGATCCCTGAACAACATTCAACTGCATGACCCAGGACATTATAAAGTTTCAGCTTCTAATCGGTGAAAGTTAAGGCGTACTCCCCGTTCCAGAATATCGGTGTCACTTAGCCGATTGGAGTGTTATCTGATATTTCTCCGAAGCTAAAACTCATTGATTGTTTTTCATAATACGAAGCCTCGATTGTTCTGCTGTCGGCACTCAATACACAAGAAGTGGGCTCACTTAACCCGGTTATTAAAATGCGACACTTAAACATTTTTTTTTCTTTTTCAGATACCATTTTCAACCAATATAGGTCATCTGGTAGCGCCTAATTTTGGATTAGGATTTGCTATAGGTAAGTAACTGGGTAATATTCATCCATTTGTTGCATCTATTGTGGGCAAGCATCTAGTTTGTCGACCTTTGTTAACTCCTGATACAATTTTACGACTACGATTATCAGACTTAAAGACAGTCAATTGTAAAGATGTATGCGATACAAAAGTGTGCAGTATGAATATAGTCTGTAATGTTGAACGCACCAAAATACAACATGGGTGCAAATGTCTAGTACGTAAAACTCCCCAATTCACTATTTCAGGTATGGTAGATTCGGCTATGTTACCACATATGGGCTATTTGGTAGATCTTCGTCACGTGTCTGTATATGGTAGTGTATACGCTATAGCTGATGTTGCTTTTTGTATGGGATTTGCTATTGGTAAGTACCGCAAAAATAATGACCATTTAGGCTGAACTGTGGACGGAACGGCAAGAGACTGTGATACATAACAGCGACCACTAGCCTTTTCAATACTGAACATCACGAATAACGAATTGTGGATCTTATTCTTCACTTGAATATCACGATAAGGTATTTATGGTTATTTCCTTTTTCGTTTTCAATTGAATGTTGCTTCTAATTGCAGGTCCAGCTATAAGTGGTACTATAGTTAGGGATGTAGGTTTTCAATGGTAGGGAATTGATTAATACTTAATATCTTTTTATGAATATAAAGTAACGACAAGGGCTCAACCTTTTCTGTTTTGCTCATGTGTTCGGTCATAAAATCTTCATCAGGAGAGCTGGCTACGAAATGGGGGTTAAATTTAAATATATTCCATAGTTTGGAAACATAAGATTTGATCCCTACTTGGCTCCTTAGTTTTTAGTTTCAACTAAAAGTTTAAACAGACGTATATCATATGGTTATAACCGGAAGTAGCCACCAACAAATCATTGCCAACAATGAAAGGATATGCTGAGCCCAAATCTTTATTTCTTGCTAAACATGTAGTTGTCTTATTTATTTGACCAGACCTAATCTCATCCCCATAAAATCCTGATTGGGACAGCTAATAATGGTGGATGCTTGACCAGTATTATGGCTTGAAATGTATTAGCTAATCACATGAAGGCAATGTAATGTAATTCTTCAACTCAATTGTAATTTCAGGATGTTATGGATAATAGCAATAGTTAATATAGCCTACGCACCATTATTATTTTTCTTAAGAAATCCTCCTGCAAAAGAAGAAAAAATGGTAAGTAATACCATTTTGCATCATAAATTCAAAGTATTTGTCATACGACCGACCGGAGAATGAATAAGTGGCACAACTGGGCACATTTAAAACACCAAGACCTATCGACATGTTCCGTGGTTCCAGACACGAACAGTTGCACTTTACAGCCCTGAAATGTCAAGCGACTGTTTAGGGTTTTTGCTGATCAAAAGCAAGCTTCAAAATCCAGTTCATTCAAAACCATTGTATTTTAACCGTTATATTTTATTTTTCAGTCGTTAATAATGAATGATCAATGCCCAGTTCAATATGTGACGTATAATCAGACGACACATAGTAATATGAACTCTGATGAAGAGACGGATTATTTAGAGTAACCTCCCTTGGAAGAGAGTTTATTAGAGTTGTTTCCCTTGTTAATGTAAAGGCATATTGAAAACTCGTGATATTCGAAATAGCAATGGACACCACAGATATTATGAAATAATAGTGATATGAACTCTGATGTAGAAACGGATTATTTAGAGTAGTCTCACTTTGGCAGAAACATATATTTGAGTTGTTCCCCTTGGAAGAAACATATATGAGAGTTTTTAGCTCTAAGGTAGTTATTTAGAATATTATTAAAAATCGTAAACATGTACATAGAAGACATTGTAGATAAAAAGTTACGGACTTTGAAATATAGTTCGTGGATTAGACAAAAAAATTGGATAAGACCGATTCGTCTTGATGGGGTCGGAATGACCAGACTAATTTTCTATGGGACAAATTGTCGTGTAGCTGTAGATACCAATGTATATATCTATAACAGTGCTGCTCAAGTGATTTTGATGTTAATAATTTAACGTGGTTGTGTCCTTGTGTTTGGAGTATAGTATTAATATTCAACCACACAGCCACACCAACTGTCCAAACCGGAAGTAAGAAAATTGAAATTGGAAGCCTAATTTATGGATCTATGATTTACAGTTTACCATACATTGAATGTACCTATTTAAAACTTGAAAACGGGACATATTTTTGTTTCGTTATATTATATCAATCCTTGATTCAATTTCCTAATGTTGATTGATAATCCATTATATTACCGTCACCTATTACCACAAAATTTGTTACTTCCGGTTGGAGAGTTAGTATGGTTGTGTGGTTAGATTTTAACACCATCTCTTGTATTTTATAATTCGTCCAAAATATCTAACAATGTAAAATATTTAGCTTGTTGGTCTGTAAGGTATATACACCTGTAAATACCAGACAGTCTGAAATAAGTCAAAATTTGTACAATACCGAAACGACAATTCTACTAATAGTCATATAATATATACCAATTCATGTGTCACACGCCATACAAACTGAATGCTGGGCTAAAATATGCTTTACAGTGTAGCTTATATTGCTCTTAAATCATTATTTAAACCAATTGTGTAGTCTAGAAATTGCTTTACAATGCAGTTCATGATTGGTCTAAATTATTATTGAAACCAATATTGCATATCGTACTAACTTGTTACATAGACACAAATGTCGTTTTTATCCCTGAAATTGGAATTGATTTAATGAATGGGCATCAATTATATAACTCCATCGAGTCAAAGATTTAACTATACGTAACTATACGTATTTAGTTTATTGTCTTGTCTTGGATTCTATCGGTTGGGTCTGATACTGAAGCTAACGAATCTCCTCGTTTTTATCCCTTTGTAAAGTCATTATTAGTATTTAAACAATAAAGACCCATCTACACGATGATACATTTGTTCAAAACATCGTCATACATTTGTATGATCGTGTAGACAGGCCTTAACGTTATCATATCTTCTATGAGTGAAGTTAACGATAGAACAATACACAAAGAGCTGTATGTATATCAGATCGTATTTTGTACATACTTTGACTGTGATTATATTATAGAATAAAATATTTATTGCCAATAATTCCTGTATAATTTGAATATCCTTGCGACTTGGTCTCTGAGTTTAGTTGGATTATCTGCAACTTCCTGCAAACTTCGTTGACTTACGACAATCGTTTCTTTAATCTTACTTATTTGTTATTACTAATTAAATAGTTCCTAAACTTTGGACTTCTAATATCATCGTTGGTGGAAAGGTCTCTGTTGAATTTTTAAGTCGTTTCCCTACAACGTTGGTTTTGTCGAGGTTCAACCCTATCCGTGATTCGAGATGCTTACAGTTCCACATCGCCAGAGGTTAGTATTTTGTGTGACGTGTAACATTTTTACATTTGTAACATGCCACAGTGCTTCAATTCGGAAAGGAACCAACTTTCTCAAACTAAAATCGCTCAGCGACCTCTTATCAACGTCCATTCATTTGTTTTATTAGTCCGTGTGCACTTAAACAGTTCTTGAATCGTGATAGAACATAATGTTATAGTGTCTATTTACTATTTATCAACATTATATTATTCCAAACACAATTCAATCGCAAGTTGTTTATTAAGGGGATTCAAAAATTCGTTCGCTTGAGTATCAGAAACACTAAAGCTTCTATTTACATCACTGCGATTTCCCATTCGACGTTTTTGGTCTAGAAAAATTTGACTAGATTCATTACAAATAACATTCGAACCAATTCGTGAAAATAGAAGGTATTGGCGTTCTGGAAGGCTAGAAAAACCCCCTTTAATATTTATTCGAGTATCCTTACTCTTATTCCAAATTGCATCGTAGTGGTGAAGCTATTCATATTCCTAGAAAGTTGTTATGCTCCATAACCCATGTTCCTATTTAAACGAAAGGTATCTAACATCTTTTTGAAAAATAAATTTCCTTATTAAAATAACACGCATATTTAAACCGAAAATGCCTGACTGTACATAATTATAATATTTAAGAATATATATGATAAAGATATGAATTGTGTCAGTTGATGAATGAAGGTTGGTGAATAAAGAAGGTGAGTAACATCCATTCATATACAATTTTATAAAACAATAACATCTATGGTGAATTTTACAATGATCATTAGCATGGTGGTAAGGTTAAACAGTTGTATATTTTTCAATTGGCCTATTGCTATACACAGATTGCAATGAGTCATTGTTTTAAAGAGTTTAAAAGAATGGAAACAATAAAACAACGATCATCTATATATGATCTTTCTCCGTGGTATTGGTTGCACGGTTGTCCATTCTGCGTTCATGTTAGTTTTGAGGATTTATCATATTTTTTTTTCATTCAATTGGCTTGATAATATACACAGATTGTAATAATTATGTTAACATCGTATTAATAAAATGATTTAAAATTACCCCAGTAGCTGTTATGGACCTCAATCCTCATTTTCACAGTTGACCCAGTAAATGGGTCTGATAATCTGCGAAAGCAATGCACAGTGTTTTTTTTTTGGTCAAGGTCAAGCTAGTAGAAAGGATCCTCGTTAACCTAAGTTTTTATTCTTGTATAAAATGATTGTTTCGTAATTTCTTTGATTTCCGGTAAATCTAACATCCGGATGTACAGGCGTACCCCCCTTGTAGATTAAATACGCAACTTGTTTCCAAATATGTCGACAGATCGCAATAAGATTATGTTTTAAACGATCATCACGTTCCGGTTTTGACCACTGACCCAAATAAAACAAAATGAGGTCAAGAAGTTTTTCTGAATTTATTGTTTTTGTCGAAGTTGAACCAATCAGTTCCTTTTACGAGTGAAAGTCCTAAAATCTTCAAAATGATGTAAGTTTTATAATAATTTTCCTTAAAATAGTCGAACTCTATGACGCTAATTGTTTTTATCTGTTTCTTTGTCTTTTCGATGTCTCATTGGAACTGGATATGACAACTTGACATCCCATTAAGAGAGTCCACATAGTTAATAATGTTTTTGGTATTTTGTTTATCAGCCCAGATTCACGTTTATTGACGAACGTTGAAGAGGACTGTCGTTAGACCTAACTAAAGTGGCTATTAAAAATAAAAACTTATAAAAAATGTAACGAAAGTTTGGTCTTATTTTGATTAGGCTACATAATATATAGTGCAAATTTCAACATATAACCCAAGAATAATTAACGAGACGGATTATGTTGAATAGTATTGTAATATCCACCTTTCAATACAATAAATTAACTTACAGCCTGTTGCACGTCCTAATTGACCTAATCATCAGAGCGGATCTTATATATACGCCTTCAAGTTACTGTGATTAGCTTATCAGTTGTCTGTGTGGTGAAAATTGTTATCGTTTTGGCTAGGGATTTCGTATTGTAAACTAGCTTTCAACAGGAGCGCTAAGTGCTTTGTAAGATAGTTTTGCGTATTGCTGTTACATGATGTTAAAACAGCAGTTGTATAACATGTTGATTTTGGCGAGGAGGTTGGATTCTTATGGTTTCCCGAAATATATTGGTAAAACAAATTCTAGATTCACCAAGGAGAAATGTTTTTCAAATTATCAAGTAATTATATAACCCCGACTTTCTTATCACTGTGTTCTGAAACTGAAATGTTCGTACTGTGAGCCTCTCGTGACAATTCTACGGCCACTTAGATTAAATTTAATGATGGAACAGAATTTCGTGATAAACTAATCCTATATTTACCATACTTCTATAATATAGTATGAACATGAAGCCATCAGAAGACCCCCAGAAAGAGACCACAGAAACCCTACTGGAAACACCGAGTGGGGACATTGTCAAGATTGAAACAGAAATAATAAAGGTTTCTGGATTGGAGTATCAGGTTTATGAATCCCCACCGATCTGTGTCAGAATTTTTGTAGCGATGCAGGTAGCTATATTATGTGTTTTATCTTTTCATATTTGTAATGATAAATCATCCTTCGTGTTATGAAGGTTGTGCACCTTCTACGAATGGAAATCAGGGTCACTTGGAAAAACTCATAAAACGTGATACTTCAGCACCGCCACGTATTTCCCGATCAAACATAATTTGCAAAATAGTACATTTGCATATCCAATTGGTAGTGGTTAAGTCGGAAGATAGAAATCATCATCATCATCATCATCGTCATCATCAATCATTGCCTTCGTCCTCTTAGTTCTTCTCCTCTTCTTCCCTGTGGTCTTCATCTTCCTCCTTACCGTCTTTCCCTCTTCCTCCTAGCCATTCTACTCCTCTTCATCCTCTTCCTTCCTGTCTACCTTCCCTCTCCTCGGGTCTTCATCTTCGTCCTTTTCATCTTTCACTCTTCCTCCTCGTCCTCTTAATCAAAATTTCCTTCTCCCTCCCTGCTGCTGCTCTTCCCCCGTTTCATCGTCTTCTTCGCCCCTGCTACTCTTCCCCCTACTCGTCCTTCCCTTGCCCTTCTTTTTATCTTCATCCTCCGTCATCATCATCATTGTTGTCATCAACATCACCATCGTAATCTTTTTCATTTCAGCATATTCTAATGAGCCTGGCATCGTCGTTATCAACTGCATTCATCTTATCCGACACACTATGCGTAGCGTACGACGATCCCCTGAGGACTAAGTTATTCTGTTCCACGCTCTTTATGTGTGGTGTCTGCAGTGTGTTACAAACGACATTGGGTGTCAGGTGAGAATCCTTTACTGTTGTTGTTTAAATAATATCAAGCTTATATCCCAACTTCAAAAGCAAAGGAATCCAGTTTTGCAATGTTGTTCCTAATTATTTTGCTTCATGGTTTATACAAATACAAACACAACTGTTCACTAAAGCGCAAGGACTATTCTGTGCCAAAACATCTTGCATTAATTTGTCAAAAGTATGTTTTTTCTCAATGAAAAAATTCCACACTAACGACAAATTATTTTTCTTTGAATGGGGTCCGAATCTATTGATATACATTTCGTGATATGACAATTTCAGATTACCGGTGTATCAAGGTCCTTCTGCATCATTCATAGTTCCACTGTTAGCTTTACGACGAGATATTAGATGGTCTTGTACAGATAACACGAAGTCTAAAGGTAAAATGCATTATATTTTTGATAAATAATTGGAGATAAGTTCTCCATCTCTTTGACCAATCGGACCTTATTCTAAGACGCCAAATGTGTTTCAATTGTTAATATTTTAGATATGAGTACAAATTTGACTAGTTCCATTACACCACAGTTGATACAGTCAAATACCACCGAGAGTTTAATTCATATCTATTCAGTTGATGAGCGCCTTCAGCAGGTAACAATCTCACTAATTCGTTTCCTCACAACACGTGCCCTTTGCTGTGTAATAAACTAGTTCAACTGTTACACTTTACAAAAAAAGTACAAAATCGTTGTCATTTTTCATTTACCGCAACTTGAAGTTCAAAAACTAATTATGGGTGTTATAGAAGATATTCTCCTATAGATGCACTGCTCTAGGTCACAAGTAGAGTGTTATGTTGAGTAATGGTTTTAAGAACAGTTTTACGAATGGTTTTAAAAATGGTTGCAAAATTGGAAAAACAGAAATTTGTGTGGTTTAGTAATGGGGTGTGGACAGAACCCATGAACCAGCACCTAAATGTGTATTCATGTATCATTTAATTCAATTATACTAAAAAATGAACATTCATACCTTTTTTTTACACACTTTTCAGTTATCTGGAAGTTTAATGATAGCCTCGTTAATTGAAATAATAATAGGTGGTACGGGACTAGTAGCGCCGTTATTGAAATATATCGGTCCAATAACAGTTGCTCCGACCATTTCATTAATTGGCCTGTCTTTAGTAAAGGTTCCTATTATATACTCCAGACCACAATGGGTTATTGCCTTTTTGTAAGTATATTATTAGAATTACTTCCCCTTTCACGCCAGATTGCCAATCTTAGCGAAATCACCATATTGTGCCTGCTTTGCCAATAAAAGCTGGATGAATGGCTACTGCAAGGCGTTAGGCATCATAGCTTAAAAGTCACCCGTGGACGGATTCAATTTTAATTCTTTAATTTTATTGCTTTCGAGGATCAACTCGGTGTCGGCCTATCTCATACTATCAACATGTGTTTCAGATATATAATCCTCATCAGCCAGGTTTTTTTGAAGGTTAAATTTCTAACTGTCGATCTCGAAATCCTTATTATTCAATTCTGTTTCAGTGGTGCCTTGTTAGTATTAATATTCTCCTTGTATTTATATAAAATTAAAATACCAATGCCAAGACTCAACTGTCTGAAGAAGAACAACGATGAGAAACTTAAACCACGATCGCAATTCGCCATATTTCAGATATTACCGGTATGCTATCTTCTTTAATTGATCGTGGGGTTGCTGATCAAAGCGCAATTTCGTTAACTATTCTTTTAGACAATGTTGATGAATAACCATATCTTTAAGAAAGGGACACTGAGTTGACAAACCGGAATACCAAATTAACAGTATTAGCTATGTAAACTCTCTGATAGGGATATTTAGTTGTCAAATTTGAATATAGAATTACAAAATAAACATTATTAGCTATGTAGAATCTACCAAAGAATTTGCAATTGACAAATCCAATTGCACAAGGACATCAGGAGTCCCGGGGTGTTGATGACCTTTCTGCTAGGTACAGCCACCGCAGCAATCAATCGCTGTTTCTATCAACGATGTAAATTCACTTCTCCGTTCCTCGAAGTAATCAATTTATGTATTTTTTAAAATCTTTTTTGCTACTTTGTAATTTGAAAATATATTTATACGACATAGCTCCGAAAACTAGTCCATCAGGCGAATCGGTTACAGGTTTCATTTTCGTTTCCATTTCAGATCCTACTTAGTATAATAATATTATGGATAGTGGCTGCCATTTTGACTATCACAGATACACTGTCTACAGATCCTGAGTCTTTAGAATATAAAGCTAGAACTGATTCTAAACTCAATATCGTCAGCATGACACCGTGGTTCTCTATTCCTTACCCAGGTAAGACATCTTGGTTTATTGAAGGCATAGGAGCCTAATCGAAACCCTTTTAAGTGTTCTGTAGCACAGTCGGTTGGAAACTTGGAAACTTTATGTTTGGTAACATCGAAAAAATGCTAGTCGTGGGTTCTAATCTCGTCCGCTTGTGAAATTCTTTTGACCTTGAATAAGTCATATCCACTCATTATTCCAGTCGATCCATCTCTAAATAGAGTACGAGTATCCGAGAAAGATCATTGACAAGAGGTTTGGCCAAGGAACAGTTGGTAGAAAGGATACCAAGTGAACATTAATTGTTAGGCCTATCCTTCTAAAGAATTGATGTTTCATACTAACGCTTGACCCAGCAGACGGATATTCGTGTGATTTTAGACCAATAGTCTCATTATGCTACGTATCAGTATAACATATGATCAATTACTAGCGATCAAGTTACATATCATAGAGTATAAATAATGCCTTTTAAAATGGATAATCTCTGTCATTAACAACAGTTACTATCAGGGACAACGTGTCAGGTTGGCAATATCCTGCTAATAATAACTATCAGATGTCAGATCTAGAGTTTGTAAGTTCCGGTTCGACCTCCACCAATAATAACAATCAGATGTCAGATTTAGAGTTTGTAAGCTCCTGATCGACCTCCACCATTGATAACTATCAGATGTCAGATCTAGAGTTTGTAAGTCCCTGGTCGACCTCCACCAATAATGACTATCAGATGTCAGATTTAGAGTTTGTAAGTTCCTGGTCGACCTCCACCATTAATAACTATCAGATGTCAGATCTAGAGTATGTAAGTTCCTGGTCGACTTCCACCAATAATGACTATCAGATGTCAGATCTAGAGTTTGTAAGTTCCTGGTCGACTTCCACCAATAATGACTATCAGATGTCAGATTTAGAGTTTGTAAGTTCCTGGTCGACCTCCACCAATAATAACAATCAGATGTCAGATTTAGAGTTTGTAAGCTCCTGGTCGACCTCCACCAATAATAACAATCAGATGTCAGATCTAGAGTTTGTAAGTTCCTGGTCGACTTCCACCAATAATGACTATCAGATGTCAGATTTAGAGTTTGTAAGTTCCTGGTCGACCTCCACCATTGATAACTATCAGATGTCAGATTTAGAGTTTGTAAGTTCCTGGTCGACCTCCACCAATAATAACAATCAGATGTCAGATTTAGAGTTTGTAAGTTCCTGGTTGACCTCCACCATTGATAACTATCAGATGTCAGATTTAGAGTTTGTAAGTTCCTGGTCGACCTCCACCAATAATAACAATCAGATGTCAGATTTAGAGTTTGTAAGCTCCTGGTCGACCTCCACCATTAATAACTATCAGATGTCAGATCTAGAGTATGTAAGTTCCTGGTCGACTTCCACCAATAATGACTATCAGATGTCAGATCTAGAGTTTGTAAGTTCCTGGTCGACCTCCACCAATAATAACAATCAGATGTCAGATTTAGAGTTTGTAAGCTCCTGGTCGACCTCCACCATTGATAACTATCAGATGTCAGATCTAGAGTTTGTAAGTTCCTGGTCGACCTCCACCAATAATGACTATCAGATGTCAGATCTAGAGTTTGTAAGTCCCTGGTCGACTTCCACCAATAATGACTATCAGATGTCAGATTTAGAGTTTGTAAGTTCCTGGTCGACCTCCACCAATAATAACTATCAGATGTCAGATTTACAGTTTGTAAGTTCCTGGTCGACCTCCACCAATAATAACAATCAGATGTCAGATCTAGAGTTTGTAAGTTCCTGGTCGACTTCCACCATTAATAACACTATCAGATGTCAGATCTAGAGTTTGTAAGTTCCTGGTCGACCTCCACCAATAATAACAATCAGATGTCAGATCTAGAGTTTGTAAGTTCCTGGTCGACTTCCACCAATAATGACTATCAGATGTCAGATCTAGAGTTTGTAACTTCCTGGTCGACCTCCACCAATGATAACTATCAGATGTCAGATCTAGAGTTTGTAAGTTCCTGGTCGACCTCCACCATTAATAACTATCAGATGTCAGATCTAGAGTTTGTAAGTTCCTGGTCGCTTTCCACCAATAATGACTATCAGATGTCAGATCTAGAGTCTGTAAGTTCCTGGTCGACCCCCGCCATTAATAACACTATCAGATATCAGATCTAGAGTTTGTAAGTTCCTGGTCGACCTCCACCAATAATGACTATCAGATGTCAGATCTAGAGTTTGTAAGTTCCTGTTCGACTTCCGCCAATAATAAGACTATCAGATGTAAGATCTAGAGTTTGTAAGTTCCTGGTCGAACTCCACCAATAATAACTATCAGATGTTAGGTCTACAGTTTGTAAGTTCCTGGTCGGCCTCCACCATTAATAACTATCAGATAGTTCTTGAGTCTCTAAGTGCCTGGTTAACGTCCACCAATAATAACTTTCAGAGATATCAGATTATATTCTGCTGTAATTTGATCATATTAGATTATGATAATCATTTGATTTTCCATTGTCCCTCCACATGTATTATTATTATCCCCTCCGAACACTCAAGCCTGGCTACAGACCTGGTATCGGGTTGATAATCTCCTGCCAGTGATACATATCAAATACCAGGAATTATTTACTGTAATTTAATTTCTAATAAGATTACAATAATCAAGTAATATTCTGGTCCGTTATACCGTCTCATATTTAGCGAGAGTAATTTGATCTATTTGATCTATTCTATTATGTTGATTATGGTTTAACGGTAATTTAATGCTTTTGTTTGCGAACTGTGGATTAATGATTATAATGTCTTGTTAATTGCTATCTATTTTGATACGTTTGTTTCATTTCAACTGTCGACTAATGACATTCTCAGGTGTGATATTTTGATTAATGAACCTAATAATGATTTTAATTATCACAGGTAAAATCTTTATATAAACAGTATTATATACGTATGTAATATGTATGAAAAGGATGGGAGAAAATTACAACCACAGTTGTGCTCGCAACTGATAGCAAATTGAAAAATCTGATCAATCACCATCGGTCGGAGGTTTGGTCTGGATCCACCAGGTAGACAGGATCCTCGGAAGTTAAATTGTTTCTTTATATCACCCCTTATCTTTATATCCCTACAGGACAGTTTGGTTTGCCCAGAACCAGTACAGCGGTCATCGTTGGATTTTCAGCTGCCACCATATCATCACTTATAGAATCTGTTGGTGATTATTTCGCTGCAGCAAAGTCTTGTCAAGTTCCAGCTCCACCTGACCATGCTATTACTAGAGGCATTCTTATTGAAGGTATTAGACATGCATTGTTGTATTTCCTAACTGTGTCATTGTTATTGCATGCACTCGCATTCTAATTGCCCCATAGTCAGGAACGGGAATAGAACCAGGGGTCAGTGGCTCAAATACACGTAGATGAGTGGAGACCCATGGACGAAAGTGGGTTGGGGTCCCTCCTCTTGGAACTGTTTTTAACAATGCTCTCCAGCATTTTAAGACCCCTCTTCAATACAATGTAATGCTTGTTAATGGAAGATTTTTGGTCTGTAGTATATGATATTGCCCTTGGTTATATTGCCCAACCCAAGTTTTGAATTATTCAATATTGTGAGTTAACATTTAAGATGCTTACTTTGGTATATTTTGTAAATTCATTTTTTTTTGTCTGGGGGTGCTAATTTGTGGTTCAATCAGTCCCTATAGTAGTTGAACCACTGACTTGGGTCAGGAGATGGAACCATAGCCACAGTATCACGGAAGATTCAAAGTTTCAATTTGTTTTCTTTTTGTATCATTTTGACATTCCAGATTTCACATAAAACTTAGAATTGCACTTTCCCCTCTCCACAATCTTAAGCTACATGATATTTGTTACAGGAATTGGCAGTATTTTATCAGGAGCCGTAGGTGTTGGTCATGCAACAACGTCTTATAGTGGAAATATAGCAGCTATAACTTTATCCAAGGTAATACTATCGCTGCAAGCTTTGAAAGTGTGAAAAGTTTTGTCTCTTAAATTGTCGGTTTAATATTAGTAGAAAGTAATTCGATAATATGTTCATAGGGACTGGTTGAACCAAGTCCACTGGTCCCCAACT